ATTGTTTGCTGATAGATGTGAGCTCTGTGTGAGTGATGCGAGCTCTGTGATTGGTCAGCAAGTGATATGTGCTCTGTGATTGGTCATTGATAGATGTGAGCTCTGTGATTTGTAGGTGAGTGATGTGAGCTCTGTGATTGGTCGCTGATAGATGTGAGCTCTGTGTGAGTGATGTAAGCCGTGTGATTTGTCGTAATGTGAGCTCTCTGATTGGCTGTCCCTCAGCGCTGGGCGGGCCCACAGAGGAGGAGCTTCTGGAGCTGTTGGACCAGTGTGATCTGGCGCTGACCCGAACACCTGACAGCACGCCCCGGGCCTCCACCTGCAGGTACAGTGACAACACACGCCATGTTTTAAAGGGACTGGAGTTTATCACACCTACACATTTTATACAGTATTTTTAAGAGGTGTTCCCACTCTTAAATGAACATAAAGTAATCTATTTTGTACTTTTTGACATGTATACTGTCTCCGTTTTCAGTTAGAGAAATAAGAACAGATATAGAAATAGTATTCAACTATTGGAAACACTGTTATTAAATTAAACATGTTTACAAGAAATATAAATATACAAAAAAAGGAAATAACAATCTGACAAATTACTGTAAAAAACATGTATTTATAAATGTGTTCATTATAAATAAAAAATACAATACAAATATAATAAATGTCAATCAATCAATCAATCAGTGTTTATTTATATAGCCCAATATCACAAATGTTACATCTGTCTCAGTGGACTTTACAGTTTGTACAGAATATCAATACGACAATACGACAAATAGTTACTGATTTGCCGATTACTCCAAATCTTTATCATGTTTTTTTAACGTTGCTCCTGATGTATTATTAACCTCTTCCTGTCCCCGCAGCCTGTACTCTCAGATCGGAGACGTCCTCCGAATGGAGCGCCTCCTCTCTCCTTCAGCGGGGGGTCACAGAGGAGGCGGAGCTTCTGGTTCCTCTGCCTCTCTGTGCGGCAGCCTCCCTCGACAAGCCCCGCCCCCTGTGCCTCTCTGTAAACCCGCCCCTCGAGACTCCGCCCCCTCAGGAGCTCCACAACAACAACAACCACAACAACCCCTCGCTATCCCCGCCTACAACTCCAGCCCGCGGCCCCCCAGGCAGCGGGAGTGGGGGGGGTCGATGCGGCGAGGCAGTTTCGTGGAGCGTTGCCAGGAGTTGGCGAAAGGCTCCGAGGCGGCGGGGGTTTCTGGGTTTGGGCCAGAGGGCGGGAGGCGGAGCTTAGCCGTGTGCACAGAACTCGAGGCCAGGTTTGGCCTCAGGACGCCGACCACCTTCTCTGTGTCGCCCGGAGCACGAAACTCCCCAGGAACGCCGGGAACGCCTTCTTCATCGTCGTTGTTGTCCTTGACGCCTTCCTCTTCATCGCCTTCTTCTTCGCCGCATCGCAAGACCACGCCCACTCCGCCTACAAGCCCCGCCCCCCACCCCACTATGAGCCCGACCCGTTCCCAAGCGCCCGCCTCCCCAAGACGTGGCGATGAAACGTCTCCGGATGAAACACCGGCATCAACGGAGAGTTCTGACACCCCCCCTGCCAACGCCGGACCCCCCACCAGTCCCAAACCACACATGAATGAAACCAGCTTCTGATTGGCTGTCAGACTGATCCTTTGTTGCTATAGTTTGGGTCTAACTAATGTACTGGATGCCAGGAGGAGAAGAAACAGCAGGAAAACAGAACTATTTCAAACGGCGGAAAGTCTCCACTAAAGCTGCCCTCATCATTAAAGAGCTGCTGGGATGTCGTATTCCTGTGTTGGACCCTGAAGGCAGCATCTCCCTGGTCCAATGGGATTCCTCCCTGTGGTTCTGGATTATTGCAGTAAATAATCTTTGTGTCAAACAAACGTTTATGATACTAACACGTCATATTAACATCACTTTGACATCAGCTTTTTATATTTTGTTTGTCAGCAAATCTTTTCTATCTGGGAGCTTTTTGTATCCATTAAAAAAACAAAACCCAAAAGCTAAAAAAGCTTGTTTTTTGCCCTGACTAAATTCATACTAATGCTCAAAATCACGTAGTCTTCAGCCTGAGCCTGAGCGCCTCACCGTCACAGCCAATCAGCTCCTTTTGTTCTCTAATTCACCATCAATGCTGCCAAATTAACTTCTGATGTCTAAAAAATTAAAATGTCTGTATAACTTTTTTTTTACTCCATATTTTACTGATAATTTGCTGGAAATAACTTTGTTTTTGGGGAAATAATTATACTTTAAAGTAATATTGAAAACGTTATAATTGTATATTTGCTGAATTGTATTTTTCGCATTTTGCATGTTTGGGTTAGTTTTTAAGAATTATTTATACCATCAGTTTGTTGAAGCACCATTTTGTTATATTTTCTATTTACGGCTTCATCGAAATATTACTTTTTACTTCACTTCACACATTTTCTTTTTAAAAGAAAACATATATTGATCTCATAAATGACATTATAACAGATTATATTACCCAGCAGTTTATAAAGTAATACAAAAAAAATCTGTCACAAGAATCAACACAATAACTCAGACATTACTGATTTAATGAAATATGTATTGGGTTTTACTGAACACTTTAAAGGGCACCTAGTATGCAAAATCCACTTATCCATGTCTCTTCTACGTGGGGAGGGGCTCCTTATTTTCATCTAAAGTAACAGACAGGGGCCGTTTCTCAATCGCAAGGATACTGGCTTGGTAGTCGCATACTTCCAAGTCACTTCCTTCAGAAACGAAGCAAGTACAGTACGCTTCCAAGCCACGGCTTCGGAAAACAAAGAAGAATGGAACAGGCTAACAAGTGTGCCACTCTCTCTAACGGTTGCTACATAAACTGTACCGAAAATAAATACCTCACGATGTCTATCTAATTATGAACTTGCTTTACTTTCACGGAACACATTTTTGGTGATAACAAATGCAACAAAGTCACATATTTACCAACACATGTTCTACGCCACTACATACTTACGTTTAAATGTGTGCTGCGTCGGTTCAGCCATTCTCCGCAAGGATTTTTGAAACTAGTCCGTGCGCAAAGCATTGTGGATTTTAAGGACGCGAAGTCTACCCATGTGCAGCCTCGAAATTTCCCCCAAACCAAGGACGCGGCCTCGGTGGAATTCCAAGTATGCTGGACATTGGAACAGTCCTTCGGCAGCACTCGATGACATAGCATCCTTGAAATATTGTCTTGGAAGCCAGTTTCCTCGCGATTGAGAAACGGCCAGGGAATCAGCACTTTGGAAACAGGGCTGAAACAGAGGGGATTATGGGTAATGCTGCAATGATCTGTTTGGTGTTTCAGCCAATCAGAGGGGGGAACCTT